TTTATTTTTCACTCTTTCATTCATCCCCTATTTACTGTTTTAGAAAGAATGATATGTGTTAATGAGTACGTTCCTATGGTAGACGTCAAAGTTTCATTTAAGAAACTTTAGGGTCAACTCCTATGTTCGAGGTATTGTCCGTTTTGGAATTCTTGTTCGTCACAATTTTGTTCATAAAAGGTGACTCGGTGGATTAAGAGATGATGGTGTATATAACTTTACTTTCGAGTTCATAGTAGGCACCAATGTTCCGTTTAAGGAACTTTAGATCAATTTTCATGTCCAAGTTATTGTTCACTTTGAAGCTCTCGTTTGTCACGATTTTGTCCTTAAAAGACTCCTTAGTGATTAAGAGATGAGGGTGTATATGACTTTATTCTTTGTTTCATGGTGAACACCAATGTTCCGTTTAAGGAACATTAGGATAAATTCTCATGTTCGAGGTAATGTCCACTTTGTGGCTCTCGTCCGTCACGATTTTGTCCTTAAATGGCCTCGGTAGTTAAAAGATGAAAGTGTATATGACTTTACTCTCGGCTCCATGGTGGACGCTAATGTCCGTTTAAGGAATGAGGGAGTCTCAACGTCATATTCGCTATGATAACATCTTAGGGTCAATTTCCATGTTCCAAGTATTGTTCACTTCAGAGATCCGTTATGATTTTATCCTTAAAAGGCGTCTCAATGAGTTAAGAGAAAAATGTGTATATAAATTACTCTTGACCTCGACTCTTAAGTGATGTGTGACTCATGAGTGTACATAATTATAATATATGTGAACTTTTTATTTAAAAATTGATTTTAATAAAATATTAATATCATAAAAATCATGGATATATATATATATATATATATATATATATATATATATATTTAATATGGGATTATATATACAAAAGTAATTTTTTTCTATATCAAATTAAAATATTTAAATATTTTTCAAAATAAAACAAATTGAAACCAAACTAAATTATGAATGTTTTCGAAAATTTTGAGTACAAAAAATTTAGTAGGAGAAAAGTTATTTGACGTTAAAGTTAAAACATGCCACAAGTAGCAATGGAAGTTGTATTCAAAGAAAGGATTTAGTCCATCATGTGACAAGAGATTTGAATCTATGTTGAAAGAGATATTAACATTTATCTTTTTTACTATGTTTAGATCATGTTTATCTTTGAAAGAAGATATTTTTGAGAAAAAACGTAGCATGGGTCACATTATGGGAATTTGTCATGCTATAATGTTGTTGTTAGTGATAGAGACCATTTTTGTTTTTAATCTCTAAAAAAGCTACCACTTTAACTAGAGTGTGAAAAGAAGTGAAAAACGACCTCAACTCCGGAATCTTATTCTAAATCGCCAGAAAAAGATAGGTTTTACAAATAAAATATTTGTTGAAGAATGAGTTGATGGAATAGATAAATCCACAAGTAAACACACGCACTCCGAATCTTAACCAGTTAGTGCCACATTTCGTTGCGTATTAAAGTTCCTCCGATTTATATAAAGTGCTTTATTTATTCAACATCCTCATTATAAACTCCACATCATAATATATAATTTTTCTGCTACTATTTACCTTTTTCTTTCCAATGACTTATCCATCAAATTTTATATTATTCTATAATTTGCGATTTTTGTAGGTCAACAAGTAGTATTTCATGCTTGATATTTTTCGTGAACCCACTAAGTTTGTACTAGTGATGAGAAATGGCACAAAGTAATTTGAATTATTTCTTCATCCCAGATTTTTTCCACAAAAATATCCTCACAAACTTGTAAATTCATGTATACGTGCTTTTATGTGTATCCAAATTATTGATCATTTGTAAATTCAACTACAATAAATCTTGTCTTTTGCATTTACAATACCACCCTCATTTTATTTTCATGGTATTACTTACACCAACTTCATAAACTCTCTCATATATCTCACCCTTAATTAGAATGACAGCATCTGCATGAAGCCACATTGTCTACAAAACTGCAAATCTAATCATGAGCCTATGTATCACACCTCATATGACTCCCCTATATTTAAACAACCCATGTTGTTGTGAATTTTCTTCGCTCATCACACAACATTTTCCTTATTATATTATTTTATATTTAAATTAATGAAAAAATGTTTTTTCTTTTTTACACTCACCACATAAAAAAAAAAAATTGAATGATTTTTTTTACCTATATAAAAGGAGATAAATCGTTAGTTTAATTAATAAGACAGTATGTCTTTACACTACTACAGCAAAACCAAAATCAATCTTTCTAGGAAGTGTTACATTAATCAGTGTTTTGAATTGAAGATAATAAACATAAGTTGTTTATGTTACACTAACATGATAGATAACAAAATGTGTTGTAACATTAATATTACAATTTTTTTTTTTAACTTTTGATAAACTTTATTTATACCAATTATAATTTTAAAATATAAATTAAATAATAAATTCTGTATGATGAACAATATTCTTAGAATAGTCTATTCTCTTTATAACATAAATTCGTTATTAAAACACATCAAACATTAATTTTATATACGTCTTAGGTCTAACGAAGCCTAAGACTTAGAATATCCACATGCTGATATTAATTAATTAATATATTAAAATATAATATTCTTATATATATATATATATATATATAATTATGTTTTCTTGTTTAATTAGAATTATAAAAGTGTCTTACTAAAATCAAATTTATTAGAACATAATTTATAGATAAATTATATCAAGTAATATTGTTATTAACTTATATTCGTGCACAGTTTTCAAGCATCTCTTTTATTTATTTTTTCTTTCAACACACTAAAAACATGTATGCCATTATGAATGATTGGTTTGATTCCTGTATATGTTCATACATAAATTATTATTGACATTAGTTTCATGTTACAAAAGATATTTTCAAATCAATGAATTTGTGGTTGTGGTTGACTTTCAAGAAAAATCAATGACTTCAACTTCATATCACTTATTGGGTTTTTAATCATTTTCTTTAATCATAACACTGTTATAATTTTAATAGTTTCAACAATATAATTTAAACTCATTTGAAAACATAGTAATAAGAATTTTTAAAAAATGATAAAAAATATAGAAATATTTATTATTATTATTTTCAAATTTAAAATTGTCAATAAATTCATCAAATGATTTTTTTTAATGCTAATCGAAGACGCGAAAGGATTGAACTGCTGAATGAAAGACGGAAAATTTGGATCAGATGTTTGTATAATAATAATTTATATTGGTCAATAAATCTATCAACTATTTTTTTTATTGTTAAAGAAAGGGGTGAAAGGATTGGAGTGATAAAGTATGTTAGGTTGTTAGGAAATTTTTATTAGATATTTATATGAAAATAATTTAAATTGATAATAGATAAAATTTATTACAATTTGTATTATTTTAAAAAAATTAATTCAAACTTTATAATTATATGTGATATTACTCATTGACTAGTTGTTTTTAAATAGTTGGATTTGTTTTGGCGGGAGATAGTAGATTATTGAGAAAGTAACTGTATACGTACTTTATTTTCTTTTATATATTTATCATTTTATCTACGAGCAATATATATGATAATTAATAAAATTATATATTATTTTCATCATAAATATCAAATATTTGTTAAAAATATATATTTTATTATTTTTAGGTAAATTGAGTATTAAGAGATTTTTATTTATTCTTTAGAATAAAAAAGTATATTCACTTATTATTTTAAATTAGATAATAATAATTGAAATATAATTAATATTTAATATTTTGTTATAATTTTAGATTATATATAAAAATTATAAATACATGGATAATAGAAATAAAAATATACTCATATAAATATATTTTTTATATAAAATACACGCATACAAAATTTAAAAAATTTGGATTAATATCAAAATACACATATACAAAATTCTAAAAATTATCATATTTGATGATTTATTTAATATCGGGATCACATTTTATTTTAAAAACACAATAGTTAAAACTGTGTGCGCATACTTTAGTCTGCAAACAAAAAAATCCCGTGAACAGTATCATATATATGGTTGTTACCGTGACAAAGGATGCTGTTCTATTATTTTGTCGCGGGAACATTGTCGGTGACGAGTGACTGTGACAGAATAAGATGTTATTTGTATTTACAATATTCGATTTAATTTTGTTCTGCTTATAAAATATATAAAACTTATAATCGATTTAATTATAAAACTTATCACCAAAACTGGACATATATAAACTATAGACATCGTATTATTATAACACTCTAGGCGTGGTTATCGCTTTTGAATGTGGCACATGAAAACCAAAGGACAATTAACATTATTGCGAAAATGAGTGATTTAGGATCCCTTGTTATGATTGGAATAAACTAAAACAAAGTTTGGCCCCTCTTCTGGTCCAAGAGATAATAAAAGTCAAAAGTAATTTATTCAAATACGCAAGTATTAAAAATAATTATTAGAACCATTCAATTTAATCACTAGTAATATTTTCTGGATTTTTTTACAATGGTATCTTTCAATTAAGAGTCACAGAGTAAGTTTTTTGAAACATAAAGACTTAATTGAGAGATTGATATTCCAAGACAAATATTCTTCTTTACCTATAGTTATAAAGGGTCCTTCTCTAAACATATAAATATATTATTTTGATTTAATAATGCATACTACTTTTCTTTGTTCAAGTATATTAGGGTATTATAATAAATAGTATGGAAGATCACATAGAAATGCTCCACCTTAGTGTAACTGGTGACACAAGTATGGATTGGAAGAAACTGTGGATAAAACTAATGAACATCGTTAGATAGGATAGCTAACTAACCCAATTGGATAAAACAGAAGGTAGACACGGTTTAACGAAGATGAATAGAATATTTTGTTGGAGGGAAGAGAAGCGAGTGCGTGGGTGAAATAAATGATGTGAAAGAGATAGAGAGTGATGAAGAAAAAGGACAATATTATTTATGTAGGGAGTAGGAGAAATGTGAAAATGAAACTTAAGAATAGTCCAAAAGGGGGAAATGGGGGGATGAAGGAAAAGGAGGAAACCCTAGGGAAGGAGAAATTAAGGGCAGAGTTTGGGTGGGCTAAGGGTGCAGGGGCTGTCAATTCCGGCCCCCACTTTGAAAACGCTTGTAGAGGACGCAAACACTTGCTCCAATCCCAAACGCCACCTCGTTCCTCTACTGGGTAAGTTTCATTTTCCATATCTCACACATCCTAGCTATTATTCCGCTTCCATCTCTGGACCATGGACTGGTCAGAGAGGTTTTAAGTTTTTGGTAAATTTGGTGCCTAAGATTACGATGTATAACTGTTGTACGTGTTACATCCCCTCTCTCGCTCTCTCTCTCTCCCTCACTGACACATCTTAAGCACCAACCAATCTCCTCCTCATTTATTACTTATTAGCACACACTCACGCACTCTCTCTCTCTCTCACTCTACCATCCCTACTTCACCACTCTCTCTATATATACACCACTAAACCCTTTCTTCCTTCTCAGTTATATCTTCGTTCTCTTCAACCTACCTTCCTTCCTGTTCTGATTTGAGAGTTTCTTGCTTGGCCTCTTACTTTTTTTCTCTTGGCTTTCTTCTTCACCTTTCAACAGTAATTGTTTGCTTTCTACACATTAATCGCTATAGGTGGTAGGTACTTTGGTAGCTTTTCTTATGTATAGAGACTTATCAATGAATAATACTACTAAGTGGGTCTTGTGTTTGTTTTGTTGGCCTACACATACACATGGGACTCAGGAGCCTTTTAGGCCTTACATTGCTCGTCCCTCTTTCCTTGCCTTTACTTTTGCCTCATATATTGGATTAGATTAGATTTAGGGTTAGGGTTAGGGTTGTTCTATTCTCTCCTCCTTTACTTCTTGCTGATATTCTTCATTTCCGACTTTTTGTTTTTGTTTTTAAAGTCTTCTGTTTCATGGCCTAGTGATCTTGATGGTGGTAGCACAGAGAAGGTTTAATACGAAGAAGTCCTAAATAAACTAAAGAAACCAGTCACTGTTTGCCGGTGGAGCATCATCAAGATTCACAAGCTTAAGGGGGCATTAATTTGTTTGAGGTGGTCCCTTGTTACTCCAAACCAATTAGCCCTTTGCTATGGGAATCTTGATGATGCTGCAGCAGCAATAAATGACTAATACTACCCGCTCTTGCTTGGGGATCTCACCACTACACAACTGTGATACAATGCTCAGAGCAAAGGAGGTTATTATAATTAACTCAATAATTATCATGTTAATTTGTTTTCTAATATCCAAGAAGTTAATTAGATCATCTCCCAGTTACTAGCCGCTTTTGGATTTACCTTTATTAACTCTAGTAGCTGTTAAGTCAAGTTCAACATGGATGGTTAGTACTTCAGGTTTTTCCTGGAAATTTTCAATCAAGTGCAGTTGAAACCATGCGTTGATTGAGACAACATAGATAATGATGCCATTGGCGTGCCTGGTAATGCACTCTGTATAATCCTTTCTTGTGCCATTTTGAGGTTTAATATTCAGTAACGATGAAGTTGAGTGCTCTTACTACCTTTATGGAATTTGCAGTACTGCGAAACCCCTTACCTCCTGCAAAGCTCAGTAGGTATGTCTGTACGTTGATGGAACATGGTGTACTACCATGGATCATTGAATGTTTTTACTCATGGACATTTGGGGTAACACTATTAATCTTTTCTCCTCTTCAGTTATATATCTATATATACATAATGTTCCTCTTTAAAAATATATATTTTTTACACTCATCTTAATGTTGTGTAAATAAATCACACACCCATATTTATAAATACATATATTTCCTTAAAATCAGCTTAGTCATGGCCAGCATCTTTTTCTTTTACACTATGTGTTTGGAGTATTAATATGTTATTAATATTTTAATATTACACATATGTAGGTTGCACTTTCAGTGCTCTTGATTTTGTCAGGGAAAAAAAGCAGATTTGATAGTTGCTCCTCGATATAAATATAATTATCCTTTTTATTAACAGGACCTATGGTGCAGTGTTTGCTTTCTTCATAAATTAGCATCTAATCAACTCTATTTTTAGATTTGGATCTTTTTTCTTATTGTTGTTAAAACGTTTTTGGTTTTCCTTATTTTGTTTTACAGAACAGAAAATTTTTGAAAAAAATTTAACACATATATATAAATAAAACACAATCTATAAAGCACAGGTGTGAGCTTGAGCTCTGAGGTTTGGATAATTATTATTATGTTTTGCTTTAAACTCTCTAATGCTCCTTATAATAATTAATCTTAAGACTTCACACTAGTAATACATTAATATATTAGGTTCAATTCATAGGTTAAAAACTGGAAGTCGTAATTTGCAATTACTTTCTCTTGTGGTATGACACTTTTTTGCAAGCTGAGTTGGAAGGTAAGTTTGAATTCTGAGAAATAACTTTCATAATTAATATGTTTGTTTCTTATGTTATATTATGAAAGATTAGAGTTTTGAATAAAGCTCCCTCTTAAAATCAGAAAATAATGTAAAAACTGTAGCAACATAACAGTATATTTAATGGTTTTTGAGATTGATAGCTGGAAATGTAGCTTGAGCCTTTCTTCTTGAGCTTGCTTTGGACTTTTACCTCTTTTACATCACTGTAATTGAATTTGGGCCGAACTAATAATTTTGAATTGCAGAATCCCAGTATTTTTGATATTTTCATGCATTAATTTCAACTAAAAGGCAGAAAATTTATTGTAAAATAGACTTTTGTACCTTTTTATGATATTATGCACTTATATTCCTTCACTCACATTTCCATTATGCTGTACTGTCTCCTTAATAGAATGAATGATGTTGGAGATGTACCATGCATATGATGCTAAAGGTATGTTTCAGACTTCTTTTGTTCTTCACTAACATACTAATTTTTAAAGAGCACATTCAATACTTTTGTCCTACAGAAAATTAAAATATATCAAACAATAATTCACTGGAAACATTTAAAATTAAGTGGATCTGGTTCAACATCCATTATGCAAGTCTCTTGTACGTAGTTATTCCCAATTGTATCATCAATCCTATCTGAAATGGAACATATATTCAAAACCGGATCCTATGTCAGTGGTAGAACAGATTCGAAAAATGGTAAAAAAACCAAACTTAATCAAAATGTTCAAAACTTATATGATGTAAAGTTTTACAGGATGCATTTTCAAAATATCTTACAAATGATGACAATCTCGAATCAATACACTATGTAAGATGTTTTTATTTTCTTTTGATTTTGTGAATATAGATATTTGATACATATTGATGTATCCATCCATTTTCACATTGAGCGAAATGTGTTCAGAAATAATTATTAAACCATAATTTTTGTTAATTACTTCAATCCTTTGCTTACTATTAATTTTGTAAATTTAAAAGGCTTAATGGATAACAGCAGCTAAATGTCTAGAACTTCAACCCAACTTCTAAATTGAAACGCAGAAAGAAAAAAGTACTGAGATTTAATCATGCAAAATAAATGGACAAATATATATATATATATATATATATATATATATATATATATATATATATATATATATATATGAGTATGTTACTCTAAGATTTACATTTTTGCATAGGTCAACTGATGCTACATTAATTCAGTATTTTCAGAAAGGAAATTAAATAATTAATAAAAAAATCACACTCAAAATATATACTTTGTGAAATTTTTGTTTTGACATAAATTCTATTGTTAGTTGTAGGGATAGTATAAGAATAGAACTAATGAAAGAAGAAAAATAATGTTGACAGTATTTAACTGAAAAAGTAGGAGAGTAAAAAAAAAAAAAAAACTCACTCTTCAAGAAAGTATATTCTACTTTATCATATTTAGTTTTGACAGAATTGATTTTAAATTATGGAATATGATCCAAATTATTTTACTAAACATGCGTTAAAACCTGCATTTTTCATTAAGATTGAGAATTGAATTTCGTACCCTTGATGCAAATAAAAGGTTGTAGTATGAATGATATAGCAACATATCAGAAGGTATAGAATATTTGATGGGTTCCATTAGTTTCATGTGAGACCCACACCAAAGCATGATGCGTCATATCCTATGCATTCCGAGGGACATTCCATTAACTATATATCCTTAAATTCTTAGAAACAACAAAAATTAAAGACCTTAACTTTAACATCATTATTATCTACGTGGTTAACCGAAATTTAAGATTCTAATTAATAAAATCTAGATTTAGGTTAGGTATTGTTATGACTTAAAGTTCACTAACTTCATTGTGATTATTGTATGTAGAGTATTATATGAATTATTTGGAAGAAGAGGAAAAGGATAATAATAAGAAAGAGGAAGAAGAAGAAGAGAGCAATAGCGAAAATGAGACAAGTAGTACGCCGCACAATCTTTAATCACTGAGTTTTGCTACCCTCCCCTGGTACAATAATTCATCATAACAAAAGCACTTCCTCTGCTTTCTGTCCCCACCTTTTTTTTTTTGCAAAACAAATAATTTTTTTTACATATTCACATTTTTTAATGCAAATGCTTCAACTATTCTTTAATTTGGTTTACAACTTTTTACTTACATATCTTGAATTTACATCTTTTCCTTTTCAAGTTTTTCTGTTTATACAACTTTTTCTTCACATTGTGAAGTCTCAAGCTTAAATACTAAACTATTTCTATGTAATCAAATAAACCAACAAATCTTACAACCACCATGCCCCCTTCAGTTTAACTTGAAATAGTAACCTTTTAGATCCTTAAAATTCATTAAAACACTTCCAAATCTTCATTGAAAACCTGAAAAAAAAAAAAGATATTAAATGGACTATTATTTCCTTCCTCTAATCTGCATGGCAGAGATGAAAATCAATATTTTTAAATATAATTAAATGGAAATTTTAAATTTAGGCTTATAGCCATCAGTTACTTAAAATGTTTATAGCCATCGATATGTACGGTCTTTCAAATAAATCCAAATATTATGAAGCCCATAATATATCATCGGTATCGGCCCAGACCATACTAAAAACCCACACTTTAAGGAGATTGATATTTGCACTTCCCCTTCTTACTAATTACACCTTTTCTTTCTCATGTCTTGCAGCTTGAGATTCTTGTCTCATGAATAGTAAACTTGTGATTTTAGTTTATCACATGTGATTTAATCCTTCTAGATGTATTAGGAAATTAAAATTGAACTATTGCAATAAAATGTAATCGATGTAATATATATATATATATATATATATATATATATATATATATATGATATTTTTTTTAATATCATATTTATGATATTGGGGAGACATAATTAAAATTTAAGAGACTAAAATCACATAATTAATTTGAAGGAAATATATAATTAAAATTTACTAATAAATTTGACGTTTTTTATTTTAAATTTTTTTCTCTGAAGAATGATTTATGAGAATGTATAAATTTTAACATAATTCAAAAATTTGGACATGGAAATTTTGTTTTTAGATCTATGCAACATTTTCAACTCCTTACAAATACGTCTCACAATAAATGTATAGGAAAAAATAACTCATTCAATTAAAGTATAACCCAGCAAAGACCTTTCAAGCAAAGTCAATACCCTTCAAGTCCAAGATATGAGAAAAATAAATGTTTGATTTCATTTATTTCATATTGTATACAGTTTCAAGTCATTTGTGTATCTTTAATGTTTATTTATTACATGATAACATTGGAAAATTATTTTTATTATAAGTGTATAATAATTTGACTAAAAAAATCATTTTGATGGGTTGAATTGGAGTGGAGTTAATGCAATTGTTTAACGATGGAGTAGCTACTAGAGGGTAGAAAATTCCAAACACGTGAAAAACCAACGACCAAATCTATTTTTGAAAGAACATCATAAGTGAAATGAAAAGGATAGTATCCTACTACCAAAGTTAGTCATATATTAATCTAATACCAAGATTTGGCATTAAGATACATGTTTGAATTAATTTTTCATAAAATTTATATAAAAAAATGAAATTAATTTACATATAAATTAAAACTATTCTAAATTTTTTATGAAAAAGTTTATTCAAATCTTTAGTCAATTTATGATCATTGAAATGATGGTGGTAGCTTACTACTGCGCCACCATGGGTTCAGCCAATTTTTCATTTCCCAATTACTACAATATTTGAGTTAAATGTCGTGGCTTTTCAATATTTTTCCTAACATTCAACACCTACCACCATGTCAACTATATTAAATTGCTATAATCTTTAATTATTATTCTTATTCTCTCACAAAGTTTTGACAACTCCGTTTGAATGTTTCCAACGGTCAATTCGTTTGAATGAGATTGTACTAGGGATTAATGCTTTTGGAAGCGGTTATTTGTATCATTCGAAATTGGTGGGAGAATGGATAAAATTTCAAGAGTCACCATTATTTGTAACAAGGAACGTTTCTCTTGTTTTAAGAAAAAAAAAAGATTTATTTTTCATGTTTTTTTTTTGGCAACAAAGAATAAAATTAATAGAAGTACAAGGGAGTACTTCAACCCAAATACAATTAAAAGAAGCTAGATGAACGAAAATAAAACACACTATGCTGAGTCACAAGAATGAAAGCTCAAGAATACAGGTTCAATTACCCCAGCGGTGCTTAAAGGAACTAGCTTCGAGTAAAATGTTAACACTAACAAAGCTTACAACAAGGTTAAGGAAAAAACCTTATAGCTCTCGGATACTCTCACTCACCGTCTTCTTATATGAGTTCTCATCATTGTGGCAGACAAAAGAGAAGCTAAAGGGCAATTAGTCTCATACATGTTACCGGTTCATAGAACTAATCGGAGTTTGCTAGACTCGCTCCATCCCAGTCTCTAGCGCAACAAGCAGTGAAATTTGCACTCGCATTACTAAATCCTACTTCTGCATCAAATTTATCATTTTTAAAAATACATTTATTCCTTTGAAACCAAATTTCATATACCACTGCTACCCATAATCTTTTCCACAACATGTTTCCTTTCGCTCCCAATCCACCTAATGCAAAGCTTTCTAAGCTTGCTTTCGCCTCACATTGGCTAACAAAGCTGATTCCCACCCATCTAAAGCACTTTTTCCAGATCTTCCTGGTCATCTTGCACGTGAAAAAGAGATGATTGGATGTTTCGTCCTCACTTCCACACAAAGCGCATTTTGGGTTATCTATATCAACCTCTCTCCTAGCTAAATTTACCTTAGTAGGGATCCTATCCTGAAGAATTCTTCACCCTAAAACCACGACTTTTGGTATCACTTTAATTTTCTAGTACCATTTGAAGATCGATTCGTTCTCATTGCAAGTTTCTTCGTTTAGAATCTCATATGCTTCTTTTACAGTATACCTTTCATTTTTATTCGATCCCCACAACCACGTATCTTCTGTAACCCTATTAAGTGTTACACCCTGAATCTTACTTAGCATTTCCTCCTCCATTTTCTTCTCCTATTCGAAACGTTGTCTTCTCCAGCTTACTCTCCATTCCCATCTATTTTCCATCCACACACCATGTTCTGATAGCACCCCATTTTTGTTCAGTCCTATTTGTTTTAACCTTGTATACAAGCGACCTAAACTCTGTTCCCCAATCCACACATTGTCCCAAAACCTGATTTTCTCCCAATTTCCTATTTTCCATGTTACATGTTTATCAAACCAAGCTCTACCAACATTATCTTTACATTTTTTTTTATATCTAGCCACCATTTTGAATCCTTATTAATGTTTTTCGATTCGTCTAAGGCTCTTCAGGACCCGTATTTGGCTTTTATTACTTCCTTCCATAATCCTTTTGACTCGACACCTAACCTCCATTTCTATTTTGCTAGCAGGGACCCGTTCATCTTCTGAATGTTCTTCACCCCTAACCCACCCTCTTCCTTTCTTCTACATACTTTTTGCCATTTTACCCACGCTATCTTTTTCCCTTCTTTGCCCCAGCCCCACACAAACTCCCTTTGAAGTTTTGTTATCTCTTTTATCACTCTAACAGACATTTTGAACATGGATACATAAAACAGTGGTACCGCCGAAAGAACCGATTTCACCAAACATACCCTCCCAGCAAAGGAGAGCATACACCCTCTCCACCTAGAGAGTCTTTTCTTTACTTTACTTATGACGTCGTCCCAAAACTCATGCCTTTTATGGTTCCCTCCAACTTTCAACACCAGATATCTAAATGACAATAACATTGTCTTACATCCAAATTCTCGTGCAAAGCTTTCCAGTAATACAGACTTCACCCCTATTCCTCCTACTTTAGTCTTTCTCATATTGACCTTCAATCCTGATGCTAATTGGAAGCATCTCAATATCGCCTTAATTACCATAATGTTATTGGGATTTGTATCGCTGAAAAACAAAGTGTCATCTGCAAATTGTAGAAGATTGACCTGAAGCTCCTTTCCCCCCACCCTGACTCCTTGTAGCATCCATTTTGCTACTACTTGCCTAACCACCCCAGCTAGCCCTTCAACTACCACTAAGAAAAGGAACGGAGCCAAAGGGTCTCCCTGTCTTAATCCTTTTTGGGGGAGAAGCTTTTTTGTTGGGCTGTCATTCACCAAAATTGATATGAAGACAGATTTTAAACAACCTTTAATCCACTTCACTCATTTCCTGCAGAACCCTAGTTTCTCTAACATATATAAGAGAAATTCCCAATCCACGGAGTCATAGGATTTTTCATAGTCTATCTTGAGTACCAAACCTTCCTTCCTTTTGCTCTTGTACTCATATATGATTTCGTTTGATACCACAACGCTATCCAGGAGACCCCTTCCTTCTAGGAAAGCGGACTGGGAAGCACTAATTATCTTATTTAGCATGCCTTTCAATCACCCTGCTAACACCTTTGCTAGTATCTTATACAGGCTGCCTATCAGAGATATTAATCTATATTCATCCAAGTCCACAGGAATTTCTACTTTTGGAATTAGTGCAATGAATGAGACATTACATCCTTTTGGAATATTACCCTCCATCTGAAATTCTTCAATAACTTTTAGTATGTCCACCTTCAGTGTAAACCAGTTATGTTTTATAAAGAAGAAATTAAAATCATCAGGTCCAGGACTTTTACTGCCTTCACAACTCCAAACTGTCTCCCTTATCTCTTTCTCTGATATTTCTCTAACTAGAGCCTCATTTTGTACATCTGTTATTCCTTCAAACGAGATCCCTTCTAATTTGACTCCCAAACTTGTTTCTCGGTTGAATCTTCTTTTAAAATGTTCCATAACCTCATCTTTTACTCTTACTGGGTCCTGACACCAAGCTCCTCTAATCATCATCCCTGGTAATTCCACCTTGCTTCTTTTCCAACTAATTAAAGAACGAAAAAATTTTGAGTTTATATCCCCTTCCTTTATCCACTTGTTTCTTATCTGCTGTTCTCTATAAATGCACTCTTCAACATTATTTTTCTCAGTTCTATTTGGTATAATCATCTTTCCTTCTTACCTTCTTCATCCAACTGATCTATTTCATCTTTATGGTCCAACTCCCCTATCTTGTTTATCAAGCTTTGTTTTGCCAAATTCAAGTTTTAATATTAAAAGGTTTATAATCTTTTTTCATAAGTTAATTGAGAAAATGTAATGGAATTTTTTTTTAATAAATTAGTTTACAAAGTTTGAATCTTATTTTATATAGTAAAAATTTATTGGATATTTATGTAAAGGGTCAAATAATATTAAATTTGTGTTTTTTACTTTTTTTTTTTAATTTTGATACTGTTACTATGTTTCTCCTATAATTTCTCTAGAAAAAATTTATAAAAATGTTCCCCGAAAAAAAAATCCTATAATCTTTTAATGTCAAACGTAAACAAAAAAGAATGAATGAAGCCAAAAAGCTATACTATAAATCATTTAATAAGTTTACCCTAGATTAGGATCGTACGTATCTAGAAAAATTTAAGTATTTAGACAAAAATTTTTAAAATATTATGTAAATTATTTATTATCATATTATTTTTTAAGCTTTCTATTTGAACTTTTTAAGGTGTAAAATTACATTTGTTATTTAGTTTTAAGAGATTATATTGTCATGTCTAATAAAAATATTTATCATTAAATATCTTTTTTCTTGTATATTTTTCAACTTTCCTATTTAATAGTTGTACTTAAATGTTATTATGCTCATTGTTATTTTCTATAATAGTCAATTAATCTTGTATATCTTTTTGTTTTCAAGTGAACATTAAGACTATTAGTGTTTGTGCACAATTTACCTACAATGATTATTCAATTACTTTTTCATTATTTGAAATTTTTGTTATATCTCTTCTATAAATTATAACCAATTTATGAGAGCTTCATATTGATTGAGATTAATTTAATTTTCAACTTATTTTTTTTCTTTAATTCATTAAAATTAAATCCGTACTTCTTATTTGAAAATTTCTATTACAATATTAAAATAGGGCCAAGACAGTAGTAACCTTCACTTTACATCATAATTGGTGATATAAATTGCGAAGCTAAAATTATTTTTAGCAGAAATATCATAAAACATGATAAAGTGTGATAAAATAAAGAGTAAGTACTAAGCAACACTAGCTAGTAACTATAGCAAACATATATAATAAGAATCATGGATACTTTTGCATCCGATGAATATGAAGGAGTTGATTTATCTTGACCTTAATAACCATGGAGAGATTTTTACAGTGCTCATGGCAGTCACAATCTGTAATTAAGTTATTATCTGCCTGATGTCATTGACATTGTTGTCTCATTGATGGAGCAACTCTTATTTTGTTCTGCCTCCTTCACACTTTTGATGGTGTAAAGTGCTGGTTGTTTGGGTGGAGGTAACTGGGTATTTTCATTTGAAAGAAAAGAAATGACCTCAAGCATGGTGGGTCTGTCCTTTGCTTGGTCTTGGGTGCACAAGAGACCTACATGAATGCATCGTATAACTTGGATTTGGGGGCATGATGACCCATTCAACATGCTGTCAACTAGCTTTAGAGCTTCCCCTTCATTCCATAATTGCCATGCCTGAAACAAGTTAATACACTTACTTACTTTTTAACTACATAACTTCAATTTTATTTTAACTTTTCTTATTCATTATGACCAACTTACATATCCTATAAGATTGAGTGAAAAATCATCGCTAATATTTTTCTTTCCACTTATAATCTCCAAAAGTAAGACGCCAAAGCTATATACGTCAACTTTGGTTGAAATAACTCCACTCATAGCATATTCTGGAGACATATAACCACTGAAAAATAATATATTAAATACTTAAAAAGCGTACATACACACACACACACACACATATATATATATAAATAAAGTAAATTTTTATGGTATAGATACTTACTATGTTCCAACCACTCTCTTTGTTTTTTCTTCGGATTGAGTCAATTTAAGTATTCGAGCCATTCCAAAATCAGATATTTTTGGATTTAATTCATTGTCCAATAAAATATTACTAGCCTTCAGGTCTCTATGTATCACTTTCAATCTTGAATATTGATGTAGATATATAAGCCCTTGAGCAACTCCTTCAATAATTCGGTATCTTGTCTTCCACCCCAACACAGATTTTTTGGTGGAGTCTATATTTAGAAGAAAACGACAATAACAATTAATTAAAAGACCTAATCTGGAACGTATAGATGAAATATTGAACAAAATGAGTAAGCATGTTAGATGAGAAAATGTTCATACCAAAGAGGAATAAATTCAAACTTTTATTGGCCATGTATTCATAGACTAATATTCTTTCTTCTCTGTCAATGCAAAATCCTAAAAGCCTCACAAGGTTAGTGTGCTGCAGTTTCACAATTAGCATAGCTTCATTTCTGAACTCTTCCAATCCTTGTCCCGAGCTTTTGGACAGTCTCTTTATAGCTATTTCTCGACCATTTGCCAATTTCCCCTATAAATATATAAATCTTCTTATTTATTTGTTAAGTATGTAGTTAATCCTACAAAATTCATATATTAACGAAAATTAAATATACATATTGCGATGAGCATAAAGTATTACTTATGAATTAGTACCTTGTAAACAGGTCCAAATCCACCCTCTCCAATCTTATTTGTGAAAGAGAAATTGCATGTTGCCTCAAGAATTGTTATAAAGTTGAATATATGTGTATCACTGCCTGTCCTCTTCTCATTCCATAGTTCTCTTCCTTCATCGCATGCAACAGAATTTTCAGTGTTTTCTCCAATGTCAGAGAATATATTTGCTCCCTTCTTACGCTTTGCAACTATATATATATATATATGATCATACATGAAAAAAAAATGATAAGAACTTGAAGGATAAATAGCTCCATTTTGAATTCTTAATTTGTACTATTTTGTATTTTATTTATTATTAATTAGTCAACTATAGTTCACTAACTGTAGAAGATTAACCTCTTTCTCTTCGTTTTCTCCGCAACATAATAAAGCATGTCATGATTGAGACTATCAGGAGAAGAACTCCAACAGCAGCACCTGCGATCCATATTCTCCTCTTCTTGCGTTCTGCATCAGAAGAATTATATATGGAATTTAGCAAACACTATATACTTATCAGTACTACTCTATTATATTCATACAATCATATTCTGACAAAAATAATTCTTTTACACATGCAAGAGTGTGAGATGGGTTATGAGATAATTAGGGTTAAATAAAATAATATTACTAATAAGTGTGTAATTTTTTTCTCTAAATATTTATACAATTATATATCTAGAACTCAAACTTAGAACTAAGATATTATCAATGAATATACACATTCTCTCTCTCTCTCTCTCTCTCTCTATATATATATATATATATATATATATATATATATATATATAAATCTTATATTGTATGCAGTAAAATATAAAAGTTATATTTAAATAAGTTTTCTATAAATATTTATGAGGAAAAAAAAATTCTTGGGAGCTAGAATTAAATTTTGTAAAACTTACAATAAACTTTTTTAATAGATAACTTTGTCGTGAATTTTAATAGATATATGTTAAGTTTAGTTTATAAAATAAAATAATATCTAAACAAGTTCATGTTCTGTGTTTGAACTTACTGGCTTTGGTTTCGCTGAGAAAGAAGAAAATTGGACGGCCAACACCGGAATTACTCTCAACAAAGTATGATGTGTCTCTGCTCCAAATTTCACAGCCAGTTGCATCCTTATATGCAAAAGTGTAAGCTTCACAGGAGCAATTTTTCAAGCACTTCATCCAGCAATCAGAAATGGTCATGTTCTCTCGTTCATCAAATATGTATCCTTTCCTTGACATTGCTCCAAAGGTATTCCAACTTGGCAAGTACAAATCACCATCTTCCCTACATTTGGGAGGCTGTGGCATTGTACAACCAGGCACAATCTCACTACCAACACATGTGTAAGAGACACCACTAGCATTTATTCTACCCAATGGGTCCATGACGAGATAGCCAGAAACTGAAGCAAATTCAAAGTAGGTCACACTTTCATTTGAAAAGAAAGTGAAATTCAAGTTCTCTTTGTTAAGTGATGATGATTTCAGGTTGCTAAAACTTCCATTTCTCAACTCTCCACTGCTCCAAATTATGGCCCCTCTCCATCTACTAACCAATTGGTTAGTTTTGGGGTCAAGGCTGAGAGAGAAAGACCCTGACCAAAGAGTTTTGTAACTTCTCCTTGCCGTTAGAGACCACTTGTGGCCACTGAGCTTGTCATACCCAAGCTTCATCCCTGGTAACATTGTGTCTGTGGGGTGATCAAAGCTCTGCCATAACACCCTCTTCACAGATCCATCTGAGTTCAATTCATGAAGCACAAAGTTTCCTGTATCTAGCAAAGTGGCTCTAACACTTCTGTTACGTTCTGCTTCAACTGAATATAGCACCATAGTGGTAGTACTTGACACAATTTTCAGGTTGCCATATTCATCAATTGTGAGCACTCCAGGGTCATCATGGATTGGATTGTCCCTGTTGGCAAGCCAAACATAGTAATAGTACTTATTGGCTGATATGCCAAGGTAGAATTTGGTGCTAACCTCAGAGACATCATCAAGCTGAAAGAAACGCAGTGTGTATAAAGCTGAAGGTGAAATCAAACGGTTGGTTGCTGCAAGGTGATGGCCTTGGAGCAACGTGTCTTCCCTCAAGTTGGAAGGCTTTGTCAGGCGCACGAAACAAGTGAAAGTGGTGATGAAGCACAGTACTACTCTCTTGCTGAAAGTGAAAATCATTTTTGTAGAAAGTTGCACTTAACAATATGGTATATATATATATATATATATATATATATATATATATATATATATATATATATATATATATATATATATATTAAAGTTATGTCCCCTTTAGAGAGAGACTGGTAAAAGATCAGCACGGCTTTTGGGAAGACTTTGCTAAAACTATTTAAGTTAATATCCTCTTTATAACAATATAATGGATAAAATTTTGCAAAAAAAAAGTTGGATTAATTTTAATTAATAAAATTCATTTATTTTTTTCTTCTAAAAATATATATAAAGAAATTTGTGTATCCGTTATATATATATATATATATATATATATATATATATATATATATATATATATATATATATATATATAGATATAGATATGTTTGTGTGTGTGTGTGTGGACATTCGTTTTATCAAATTCTTTCTCCCTTTTAAACACATTTTATCTAAAACTTATATTATCAATACATAAAAATTTATTATTGTATTATTTTAACATAATTATTGTAAAATTTAATAGAAAATCCTCATTATTTATCCATAAATTATTTTAAAAAGCAAAGTTTATTAGTTTCTAAAGAAAGAAGCCAAAAATTAATATTTTGCAGATTCAGAATATTTTTTTTGTAATTATTTATCCAAACAAATCAAAATTTGAAAAATCAACGTTCTCTTAAAATAAATGGTTTTTTAAATGTAAATTTTATTAACAAATGGACTTTAAGTGCATACAATACAAGGAGTTTGTATCTATAATTTATTGAGGATATTCTTCTTACATCCCACAAATATATTTGATGAACAAAAATATGAGTAACATGTTTAAAAAATGGATACGGGAAATGTATCCAAAGTTTTCGAAATATACATTTTGAATAACAAATAGGGTATATTATTATCTTTATTATGTATTCTAAAATAAGGTCAAATGGTTTCTATAATTTACTATCTTAAAATAGTAGTAAAAGCCTTTCTAGAAACATATAAGATAAATATTATTTACATAATACCGAATAAAACATTTTTGAAAAAAATATATACCAATATGTGTAAACAAGAATGACATTTTCACTATGTTATGTTGAAGAAGGAGAAGGACAAAATTGAAAATTGAAAATTTTATGAAGGTGCGGGAAGAAAAACATAGAGTGTAAGAAGAAAAATTCTACTTAATGTTTTAAATACTGGACTTGAACTTAGGAAGGTGATAGCATTAGTCCAAGATAAAAATTGTGAAATAATATGAAAGAGAAAAAAAAATAAAAAAAAATAGTATATGAATATTCATATACCATTACTTAGATTATTTTGCTTAATTATATTTGCTGTCCTCTAATTTCCGTCATTTTTTGAAATTTTTTTCCTTTTTTTTTTTCAAATTTTGTCTCTTAAATTTTAATTGAACAATTTAAAAAAAGAAAAAGAAAAATAATAAACTAATAAAAAAAGTGCATTTAAGTTTTTAGATATTTTTTAGCTTTTTTTGAATAATATACTTATATTTCTGGAGTTGGAGCCCTTTGGGTTTCTGAGGCCTTTTTGTATTGAAACCCATTTGAAGTGAATTTTAAGATGAGCAGAGGATGAGGTATGTTTCTCAGCAACATTGTTTAAGGGCCATCCCATAAGCCCATAAATTAAGCCACTGCTATCCTTCGTATCACATTATATTAACACACGTTGCATTTTTTTTTATATAACTTAATAATGGAAGAGGCAATAATAATTTATTTTAAAAAATAATCTGACTAAATAAAAATAAATTCCAAAAATAATAAACAAACCAAATTGAAAAAAAAAGTCAACAAATAATAACAAAAATGATTTAACCAATTATTATATATCTGTTACAAACTCTTGAACAGGTAAATTATAAAAAAAATTGCTAGTGACCGTACCCCCACTTTCGAATATGTTACGATGACTGTTTACACAACAAACAAGTAAATGAATTTTCAACATTAATCATTTATTCTTAATTCTAAATTCTACGGTAATAAAGCTTGTCACTTCCAACCTCGATATCGATATATACGTATACATACATATTGTATATATATTATCTACCTGATGTCAATGAATTTGTTGAGTCATTTATGGAATAACTGTTGTGCTGCTCTTCCCTGACTCCAATTACACAAAATCCTGGTTGTTTAGGTGGAGGTAAGTAAGCAATTTCATTAGAAAGAAAAGAAACAACCTCAAGCATAGTGGGTCTGTCTCTTGCTTGAGCTTGTGTGCACAACAGACCAATATGAATGTGTCGTAACACTTGGGTACAGGAGTATGATCCATTCATGGTCGTGTCCACTAGTTTTAGAGCTTCACCTTGATTCCATAATTTCCATGCCTAAAGTAAACAAACTTTGTTGAATGTCAAACTGATAAACATAGAATATACATAGAATATACGATTACAAATACCGTATCATGCCATGATTCTACATGATTATTTTTTTTCATATTTAGCTTGGCATGACAGCGATGCACATTAATTTCATATCTGTTAATAGACAAATTTAGGATACCGACTATAATGGTTAGCGTAATTATAGCCTAGAATGTTTCTGTATTTCATGTATATATTGTGCTATCATATTCAATACAAGGCAGGGGTTTTCGGAAATATTTTTATCATGGTATCAGAGCGAACCAAACTCTGATATCCAACAGCCCGAGAACACAGTCGTACTTCTAAAATGGCAGAGAAAGGAGAGGCGGTGAAGAAAACACCATCGCCATACGATCTGAGTGCCAGTGATAATCCTGGAAATATAATTACACAGGTACAATTACGAGGAGAGAATTACGAGGAATGGGCAAGGGCCGTGAAGATATCTCTGCGGGCTCGAAGGAAATGGGGTTTCATAGATGGAACTCATAAGGAACCTGAAGAAGACACATCTGAGATAGAAGATTGGTGGACAATTCAATCGATGCTTGTATCTTGGATACTAAACACTATAGAACCTAGTTTGCGTTCCACTGTTGCATACATGGAAAACGCAAAGGACCTATGGGATGACATCAAGGAACGATTCTCGATCGTGAACGGACCAAGAATCCAGCAGCTAAAGTCAGAGTTGGCAGAATGCAAACAACAAGGAATGACTATGGTTTCCTATTATGGGAAGTTGAAAACGTTGTGGGATGAACTGGCAAATTACGAGCAAATCCCACAGTGTAGATGTGGGGGATGCAATTGTAATATTATGACGCAACTTGAGAAACGAAGAGAAGAAGAAAAAATTCATCAGTTCTTGATGGGGCTAGATGATGAGGGCTATGGAACTGCACGGTCAAATGTTTTGGCAACAGATCCATTACCCTCGTTGAATCGGGTGTATGCCACCATGGTGCAAGAAGAAAGGGTGAGAACAATCACCAAATCTAAAGAAGAGCGAGGAATGATCGTGGGAATGGCTATGCGAGCGGAAACCAGGAACAAGTTGCGCAATGAAGCGAAAGAAAAATCAGTTGTTTGCATGCAGTGTGGAAGGAAGGGACATGACAAAGGCAATTGCTTCGAGATCATTGGTTACCCAGAATGGTGGGGAGAGAGACCACGAACCGATAGAAACGATGGAAAAAATCAACAAAGAATAGGAACCTTCCGAGGGAAAGGAGGAACGGCTCGCGTCAATATGGCGCACACTGGTGCAGATAACGTTGGTTCAACCGAAAAACCAGAAGTAGCAGGACTGAGTAATAAGCAATGGCAGATCTTGACAGCAATGTTGAATTCTCGCAAGGCAAATGAAACTGAAAAGATGACTGGTAAGAAAGCATGTGACTTGTGGATTATTGATAGTGGCGCCTCTAATCATATGACAGGAACACTAGAAAACTTGAGGGAGAGTCGAGCCTTGGAAGGGTGCCCAGTGGGACTACCAAATGGTGAATTGGTGCTGGCAAACAAAGAAGGATCAGTTTTCCTTGATGGAGGACTGAAACTTAAACATGTTCTATATGTTCCGAAATTGAATTGCAATTTGATTTCAGTCTCACAATTGACGAATGAAGTAAAATGTACAGTACATTTTACTGATAGATTTTGTGCAATGCAGGACCACACTTCGAGGATGCTGATTGGAGCGGGTGAACGAAAAGAGGGACTCTATTGGTATCGTGGTGTGAGTGGCATAAAGGCGTATCAGACCAATGCAGAAAATCAACTAGAGATTTGGCACAAGCGAATGGGACATCCTGCCTACCAGATTGTTAGAAAAATTCCGCATCTGAACAGCGTGAATAGAAATACGGATACAACTCGGGTGTGTGAAGTGTGTGAGAGATCAAAGCAATGTAGAAACACATTTCCTTTAAGTGATTTTCAAGCATCCAATATATTTGATTTAATACATTGTGATTTATGGGGTCCATATAGAACTCCCTCGTCTTGTGGTGCATCTTACTTTCTCACTTTGGTTGATGACTGTTCTCGAGCTGTGTGGATATATCTCTTGAATAATAAGAAAGATGTGTCACAAACCTTAATGCATTTCATCGCTTTAATAGAACGACAATACGAGAAACAAGTCAAAATATTACGAAGTGACAATGGAACTGAGTTTATGTGTCTTCAACGATATTTTCAGCAACATGGGATACTCCATCAAACCTCATGCACTGGAACACCTCAGCAAAATGGGAGAGCCGAACGAAAACATCGACACATCCTAAATGTAGCTCGTGCTCTACGATTTCAGGGAGAACTTCCACTTCAATTCTGGGGAGAATGCATTTTGACCGCAGGATACTTGATCAATCGTACACCCTCAACCGTTCTCCATGGAAAAACTCCATATGAAATATTGAATGGGAAGCCACCCACTTATGACCATCTACGGGTATTTGGATGCTTGTGTTATGCACATAACCAAGATAGGAAAGGTGACAAATTTGCAAGTAGAAGTCGCAAGAATGTATTTGTTGGATATTCAATCGGACAAAAGGGCTGGAAATTGTTTGATCTGGAAAGAGAAGTCTTCTGGACTTCGAGAGATGTTAAGTTTGTAGAACATGAATTCCCGTTTGCCTCTCTTGCCCACAGTAGACATTCAGAGGTAGGATTGCCTACTGTTGATGTTGGCATTGTCGAGGAAGCATTGCCTGGACTTGGTGCAATGAACAATGCAGAACACGTTGTGGAGACTGATGACGTTAACCCCACAACAGAAGATGTGCCCACAACTGAGTTCAGGGAGGGTCACGCTGAATGCCATGAACAAGAGCCTCCCACCCAGATCGTTCTCCCACCAGAACAAACTGACTCTATGATGACAGAACTAGAGGTTCCTGAGGAGCATACTGTCCCTGCATCCCTGGGGAAAGGTCTTCGTGTACGAAAGCCATCTGTGAAGCTTCGTGATTATGTCACTAACACCACTTTACAACTCGGTCCCTCAATTCGCACTCCACATTCAGCTTCCTCAGGTATGCCTTACAGTTTGACAAAGTACTTAAATTGTGCTAAATTCTCCTTCCCCCACCGAACCTTTCTTGCAGCCCTTCATGCAGAGCGAGAACCTGTGCATTTCTTTGAAGCTGTTCGGGATGTTAGATGGAGAGATGCCATGGCTAGTGAAATTCAGGCCCTCCAAAGTAATGAAACATGGGACATTACTCCTCTACCGGCAGGGAAGAAGCCTCTGGGTTGCAAGTGGATTTATAAAATCAAATATCATTCTGATGGGAGCGTTGAACGCTTCAAAGCCCGATTAGTTGTCTTGGGAAATCACCAAGTTGAGGGGATTGACTATGACGAGACCTTTGCCCCAGTGGCAAAGATGGTCACCATTCGGACAGTGTTGGCAGTGGCAGCAGCCAAAGACTGGGAACTCCATCAAATGGATGTCCATAATGCTTTTCTGCACGGCGATCTTGAGGAAGCTGTGTACATGAAAATGCCGCCAGGGTTCTTGGTGTCTCAAAAGGGTATGGTGTGTCGTCTCCGCAAGTCCCTTTATGGTCTTCGTCAAGCTCCTCGGTGTTGGTTTGCCAAGCTCTCAACTGCTCTTGTTCAATATGGATTTCAACGTTCTTCGTCTGATCACTCCTTGTTCATCTTTCGCAAAGGAGATGTCGAACTGGTTGTGTTAGTTTACGTGGATGACCTAGTCATTGCTGGCAATCATCATGAAGACATTGCGCAATTCAAAGATTATCTTCATCAATGTTTTCATATGAAGGACTTAGGGAAATTAAAATACTTTCTTGGGGTGGAGGTTGCCAGATCTCCTACAGGAATTTTCTTGTGTCAACGGAAGTATGCGTTGGACATCATAGCTGAAGCAGGATTGCTTGGAGGGAAACCTGTGTCCACGCCAATCGAAGAAAATCATCGTTTAGCATTGGCTGATGGCGAACTACTTTCTGACCCGAGTCAATATCGACGTCTCGTCGGTCGCCTTATTTACTTGTGTTTTACACGACCTGAATTATCTTACAGTGTTCATGTCCTATCTCAATTCATGCACCAACCGCGTCAGGAGCATTGGCGGGCTGCACTCCGCGTGGTACGCTATTTAAAGGGCAGCCGGGTCGAGGTGTGCTTTTAAAAAGAGAGAGTGACCTTCGTCTTTATGGTTGGTGTGACTCGGATCGGGCAAGTTGTCCTCTCACTCGAAGATCTCTCACCGGTTGGTTTATTTTCCTTGGTCAATCCCCGTTTCCTGGAAAACCAAGAAGCAACATACGGTTTCTCGATCATCCGCTGAGGCAGTAATATCGTTCTATGACCAACACGACATGTGAGTTGAAATGGCTTCAAGGCCTTCTTTCGAGCCTAGGCATTACTCACACCGACCCTATGACTCTCTACCGTGACAACCAAGTCGCCCTTCACATTGCCAAGAATCCTGTGTTTCATGAACGGACAAAACATATTGAAGTGGATTGTCATCTTATTCGTGATGAAATACAACACAATCATATCCAACCCTCCTATGTGTCCACTCATCATCAACTGGCTGATCTCTTCACCAAATCTCTTGGCGCCACTAAATTTGGTTCTTTTTTAGGCAAGTTGGGCATTCATAACATTCATGCTCCATCTTGAGGGAGGGTGATAAACATAGAATATACATAGAATATACGATTACAAATACCGTATCATGCCATGATTCTACATGATTATTTTTTTCCATATTTAGCTTGGCATGACAGCGATGCACATTAATTTCATATCTGTTAATAGACAAATTTAGGATACCGACTATAATGGTTAGCGTAATTATAGCCTAGAATGTTTCTGTATTTCATGTATATATTGTGCTATCATATTCAATACAAGGCAGGGGTTTTCGGAAATATTTTTATCACAAACCAATATACAATTTTATCATACATAAATGGAAACGTTTGACATAACTGATTTATTACCTGAATAATAAGATTAAGTGGGTAATCATTATTATTTTTCTTTCCACTCAGAATCTCTATCAAAAGGATTCCAAAGCTATAAACATCTGTTTTAGTTGAGACGACACCCATCATAGCGTACTCCGGAGACATATAACCGCTGAAACCATCAAACAATTTAATGCTTAGAAAAATACAATTATTAGATTTTATATAACTATGTTAAAACAAATAATATATACTTACTATGTCCCAACAATTCTTTTAGTTTGTTCTTCCGATTCTGTCAAACCAAATATTCTGGCAATACCAAAATCTGATATTTTTGGATTCAACTCATTGTCCAGCAAAATGTTACTTGCTTTCAAGTCTCTGTGTATCACTTTCAATCTTGAATACTGGTGTAAATATACAAGTCCTTGTGCAACTCCTTCAATAATTTTGCATCTTGTGTTCCATTCTAATATACTTCTGTTGGAACCTACACTTCAAAGTTAGGATTAGTAAACATAGGTAAATAAAGAACACAATAACTTCAAATATAAATGAGATGTATTGAGCGATCTAGTGTGTAAAACTCCATACCAAAGAGGTACAAATTCAAGCTTTTGTTGGGGAAATACTCGTAAACTAATATCCTTTCTTCTCTGTCAATACAAAAACCAAGTAGCCTCACTAAGTTGGTGTGTTGGAATTTCACAATCAGCGTGGCTTCGTTTTTAAACTCTATCAACCCTTGTCCCGAGCTTTGGGAAAGTCTCTTTATAGCTACTTCTTGTCCACTTGGCAACTTTCCCTTTTAGAAAACATTAAAACTACATATTCAGTTCTGAAGTACAAACTTGCATTTTTTCTATAGCTAAAGAAATCATCGTTTATACGAGTATAAGAATTACCTTGTAGACAGGTCCAAAGCCACCCTCTCCTATCTTATTGCTGGAAGAAAAATTAGCAGTTGCCTCAAGAATAGTTTGAAAATCGAAAATATGCATATCATCACTTGTCTTTCCATCTTTCTTCTGTTCTCTTTTCTCATTGTAAGCAATGGAAATTGCAGTATTTCCTCCAATTTCAGACAATAATTTTGTTCGTTTCTTGCGATTTTCGACTGCATATCAAAATTATTTTGCCCTATGTTAATGTGTAAACTATATATTATCACATACGGTAAAATTGTAGTGTTGTTTGATATAACATTGTTTATTGTTATATGGTTTATATTTAGTATTTATTTTAGGATCAAATAAATATCAGATGAGCCCTGATCTTTAATTATTTGAATTCTGATGTTGATATGTATATTTACCATTTTGTTTTAGTTTTCTCCACAACTTATTGCAAGAGACGCATAATATGATTAGGATGAGAGCTCCAACAATTGCGCTTAATATGATCCATATCTTAGCCTTGCCTGCATTAAATTGGAACTGTTAGTACATAACCATGGACTATGCTGGAGCTGCTGCTGCATATGAGATACTGATGATGCTAAATTGAAACTTCACGGTTTTTCTTCCTTATATATGTTGGCTTTTCTTATCAAATATAAGTTTTCACATTCACAAATGAATTCTAGCATCCTAATTAAAAAATGATGCTCAAATATGTGATATTATCTTTGGTAATGAAGTACTAAAAAATTAGGAACGTTGTATAATTCAATATTATAAGAGGGAACCATCCCTCAAAATTAGCTCAAAAGGTTGGAGAACCTCCCAGGTAAGGAGACCTTCCTAATGTGGGACTTATTACAACCATCCCCTTCGAAAGGGAGGGTACTCGATGGCTGCACTCCTCGGTACTTCATGGCCTTTTACCGGTCAGAACCCTCCGTGGGTAGCCTTTCTTGAGTTGGCTGACTCTCAATGAAAGCATTAATGTAATAATCATAAGGCTAAGAGGGAAACTATCTCTCAAAAGCTAGCTCAAGAGGTTGGAGAACCTTTCACCTTATAAGGTCTTCCTAGTAAGGAGACCTCCCCAATATGAGACTTGTTACAACCACCCCCTTCAAAAGTCAGGGTCCTTTATGGCTGCATTCTTCGATACTTCACTCACCGACACATCACTCGGTCTTTTACCGGTCAGAATCCTATGTGGGTAGCCCTTTTCGAGTTAGGTGACTCTCAATGAAAATATACCAATATAACAATCATAAGAATAAGAGGGAAACCATCTCTCAAAAGCTAGCTCAAGAGGTTGGAGAACCTCCCATCTTATAAGACTTCTCTCAGAATGAGACATCAATGTGGGACTTCTTACATTATCTTTTAGAAAATGTAAATTAGTGTTTTTATTGTGTTCTTAATTAACAATAACTAATCTCAACTATTCATAAAATCATACGTATGAGTATAGTTGTGGAACTATATCTATCGTCTCAATACTTCTACAGACATGATCATCCTTAGAAGACTTTCAATATATGTTAACATTATCTCCTTCTTTTTTTTTCTCATTTTAGAATTATTTGAAACTTCAATTCAGAAACAAATACGTCCATATTCGCCTCTAGGACTACAATAATGGTGTACACTACGTACTTACCATAGTAATCATACAGGTAGGAGGACTATTGAAAGTTAAATGGACTTACCCTTTTTTATGGTAAGGAAGTATATATGACGCCCCCCAGCTGTCAAATTATTAGTGGCCATAAAGTTTGCTGAGTTCCTGCTCCATATCTCACACCCAGTTTCATCCTCGTTAACATAAGAGTAGGCCTCACATGTGCAATTGTTCAAACACTTCATCCAGCAATCAAAATTGGTCAGATTCTCACTTTCATCAAATTGGAAACCCTTCCCTGACATTACTCCATAGCTATCCCAGCTACCCCAGTTCAAACTATCATGATCTCTACATTTGGGAACACTTGGCTTTGAACAACCAGATAGAAAGTAGTTACTGATGCATGAGTAAGAAGCACCAGAAACGCTGCCATACATTGAACCTGATGGATCTAAGACGATATATTCTGCAAGGTATGTCACATACGTTTCATTTTCATCTGAGTAGTACTCAAAGCTGAAGTCCTTCTGGTAAAGTGGAGCCTTTAAATTAGCAAAGCTTCCATTGCTCCATTGGCCACTACTCCAAAAAACGTTCCCTCTCCACCATATCACCAATTGCTTTGTTTTGGGGTCAAGGCCAAGGGTGAAAGACCCTGACAAATAAGACTTGTCACTTCTGCTTGATGTTATAGACCAATTATGGCCTGTTTTGCTGTCAAACCCTAGTTTCATCCCCATTATAAGAACGTGTGAGAGGTGATCAAAGCTTTGCCATAATATCCTCTTCAAAGATCCATCTTGGTTTGTTTCACGAAACATAAAGTTTCCATTATCTTGCATGATGGCACTGATGGAAGTACTGTTGCTAATTTCTCTATCAGCATCAGAAGAGTAGAGCATGATAGTGGAATTTCTTCCCACGTTGGAAATAATTTTCAAGTTACCAAATTCATCGATTGTGAGAAGGGCTGCAGGGTCGTGGATTGGCATGTCTCTATTGGCTATCCAAAAATAATTAGAACTTGAAGCATTAGCTGATAGTCTAATTCCGAGGTAGAAATCTTGAGACCCTTCATACTGAAAGAAACTCAACGTATACGAACCTGAAGATGAAATCAAACGGTCACTTGATGTGAACTCATGACCCTGTAATAACGTGTCTGTGTTCAACATTGAAGGTTTCGTTATGTGCATGAAGCAAGTGAAAGTGATGAAGCATAGTATACTTTGGCTGATAGCCATTGGTGGTAATGGTTGTGAACAAGTCTAATAATGAAGAGGGATCATTGTGATTTATTTGACCCAGAAAAAAAATAATAATAAGAGCAATGTTTCTTCTATATTCATCTTTTCCAAACAATTCCATCATTTTCTAATTTTTCTCTCAATCTCTCCTTATTGCATTGATAGCGATCATAATATTGAGCTATAAACTAATATATTATTAATAAATAAATAAAAAATATAAAAAAATAAAATATCAAAATCATAACATACATATATTTAATAATCATTAAATTTAAAAAATTAAAATTATAAATATTTCTACAAATTATAAAAACTTCGAAAGAGTCCGAGCCTCCTCATCTCCTAAGATGCACTTATTCTCATCATTATGAAATGCATTTTTTCTTTTGTGCTGTATCTCTCTTCCAGTCGCATCATAATCATTATAAAATTTATGTTTATTTCTCTTTCAAGACGTGACATGAGTGATTTTTAATATATATATATATATATATATATATATATATATATATATATATATATATATATATATATATATATATATAATTGTTCGTTGACTTTTTTCGTTTCTAATAAATTCAAAGTGTATTAGCTCAAGGAACCAGAAGTTCCACAACCAAGGATGTGATATATATTCAATTTAACGATTGAAAACGAGCTGTTATTGATTGACCCAGAAAAAATATAAGGCCGTCAGTCGAAACTTTTTTTTTTTTTAATATTAATTAAAAATTCAAATTGACGAGGGTTTTCGGCTTTGCTTATTAGGAAATCATAGCTGCAGGCAGAAGAGGCAATGATTAATATGAACTCTATGATCACCGTTCTACAGTATATTTGACAAATCTAAAACAATCTTAGTAGATTTTATATTATTAAAAAACTTTTGACGAAGTCATGGAACAAAATTAACGTTGAGAAAATAATAAATACTATAATCTTTCTCACATGTCACTTTTTAAAAAAATCAGTGCGTTAAGCTTAAGGTTAGATTAAAATAAGTAAATATGAAATATTAATACTCAATTTTATTTTCATCCTGATAGAACTAAATTAAAATAATTTGTATTGGAACCCATTTTAAGTGAATTCTAAGATGGGCAGAGGATGAGATTTAACTTTTTTTTTTCAGCAATATTTATTTAATGAATATCTAATAATCGCATAAATTTAAATTTGTTGATATTTGTTTTTCTTTTTTATATAAAATATTATTATATACATTATATATTATTTTATTATAATTAGTATAACTATAAAATATTTTAATTTTTTAGTAATTTAGATAGATGCATAATATATCTTATAAATATATTTTATTTTTATCAAATAATGACTATAATTTAATTTATATTTTTCAAATGGTAATAAAATAACCATTATTTAGATTTTGAATCTTTCATTATGGAGGAAAAAAATTGATACATTTGTAATAAAATTAGTTATTTATATTGTTCAATTTTAAAAAATAAGTAATACTCATTCAAAAGCATAGATTACAGAAAGGAAATACAAATATTATAAGGGTGTGAAAGTAGCCAACCCAACTTATGTGAGTTGATTCATCAAGTTGCATTAAAAATTAGTCAACTCATCTTAGCTTATTTTTTATGAGCTAAACTTTTATCAGTTGGGGTTAAGCTGACTCACTTATATATATATATATATATATATATATATATATATATATATATATATATATATATATATATATATATATATATTATTTTTTTAATTTATTAAATCACAAAAATAAGTAAATTAGATTTATTTACTTATTAAAATAAATAAGTTAAGTAAATTTACTTATTAAAATATTATTAAAATACATGAGCTTACTCATTTGAGTCACTAAAATATTTTTTATTTATAGTTAACTCATCATCAATTCTATTCAAATTTAGTCAATTCGAAGATCTTAACCCATAATTAAAAAAATTCAATTTTCTTTTTCAATCTTCCTCAGTTTGAATTTTTAGTGAGCCAGACTTATTAGTTATAACTCATATTTATATTTATAGACATTTGTATTATAAATAATTGCGAATAATCATTAGAAGATTATTAATATTTTTAATGATATATATAAATTATTAGTTATCGAGCTAAAAATCATATGATATTTAAACTTAAAATTATAACTCAATTTAAATCATCGACACAATATTATATTTCTACTGGAAATCAAATCTAAATTAGTAGGAAGAGACTTTAAATCTTACTATTACTTTAAATCTTGATTTTGTTTTCTTCTTTTTTTTAATTTCAATCTTTTATTTATTTCCTAAATAACAACTAATTTTTCTTGTGTGATAATTTTTTGGTTTGACTATTATTTAACAAAATATTAAAATAAAATAATAAATTGATTATAATACTAGAAAAGAAAACTTGCATTACTTAGATATGTTAAAAAAATCTTATAAATCACAAAAAATTTTAACTATTGATAACACTAAAAAGAAAGAAAAAGAAAAAGAAAATTTAGTTATAATATTAATGTTTTAACTGTTAGACAAATGACATCTAGAGGGGTGAATAGATGCACAAATTAAAATAGATGTCAAATTAAAAATTTATTTGTGAGTCAATAATTTGTTAAAGCGGAAGCAATAATATAATCAGGAAAAGAGAAAGAGATAAGGGAAAGAGAAGAGCACACAGAGATTTATACTGGTTCAGGTATAGCCAACCCTACATCCAGTTCCCAGTCAACTCTTAACACAAGAGTGACTCCTCATTCACTATCTTTCAAATTCATTTTACAAATTACAATCAACTCAGCAGAAGAACCAGTAAAAAGTAAACTAATTAAGAAGACAATCACCTCCTTAGAAACCCACTAAGGATGAACACCTCCGTAGAATCCCACTAGGGATGAACACCTCCTCTATACAAATCAAAGGATGAAAACACCTCTTTAGAATCTCACTAAGGATGAACACCTCCCTAGAATCACACTAGGGATGAAGGTAATAAAAATAAGAACAGACACACCTGGGTAATGGAGACAACAAATTGTAGAAACCTGTAGAATGTCAATCTCCAAGAACAAGTGTGATTAACAATGAAAGCACAGAAGACAGTAGAGAAGAGGGTTTTCTCAAAAGGTGTAAAATATTTTTGTTGCCTTGTTCAAAATTCTTTTCTCAAAACTGATTAAATGTAAATTGTATTTTCGAATTCTGTAATTGTGTGTTTTTTATTTTTCATCAAAACTTAATTAAATAGAAAAATAGCATCAGAAAATGGTCGTTGGACATTAATAATATCATAGAGAAAATCACGATGTATTCAAAAACATTTATTCTTTAAAACGGATATATTTTTCAAATTTGAATTGCCATAATTGATTATATTACCAGTATAATTAATTATGATAGAGAAAATCATTTTTTCATTTCTGGTGCATCATAATTAATTATGACAGTGAAAAATATCATGTCATGAATTTATCACACTTGTGCTTTGGAGGTTTATGTATAATATTACTTCATCAACTTGTACCTCCATATCCAGTATTTTAAGACTCTATCTAGTCTTCAAAAATCATCTTGGGCTTGCTTGAATCATCTTTATCACCTACGTCATAAATTCAACTTGTCTTTAAATTCATCTTGAATGGTGTTGACTTGAATGTAGTTGACTTGAATCATCATCAAAATAATCTCTTGGGAATGCAGGAACATTTCCATCAATCTCCCCCTCATTGCTTTCAATCTCCCCCTTTTTTATGATGATCAAGGAAACACCTGAAATGAATTAAAATGCTTGACTCTATATAGCCAGCTCAAGATTAACACAAATTTGTATCAAGTGTTAGAGTCTATTAATCTCCACGGGATATATTAATAACAAGACTCTCCCTAACTCATATGAGCAAATACTTCTCTTAACTCCCCTTGTTTAATTTAGATAGGAAATAATTTCACACAAATTTTAATTCATCAAAAAATCTCCCCCTGTTTCATTAATAATAATAAAAATATTATAAGAAAAAATTTTCCCCTGTTTCAGACAAATTAATATCATCAAAATATTTCCATATTTCATTGATAATTATGAAAAATATTATAAGAGAAAAAAATCTCCCCCTGTTTCACACATATTAATATCATCAAAATATCTTTCTATTTCATTGATAATTATAAAAAATATTGCAATAGAAACTGAGAACAAATTTGTACCTATTAGTATATAAATAAAGGTAGAGAAGATAATACATTAAAAAGTGTCATAGAAAAGAATATCATATTAAGGAAACAATATCTAGGATACCCAAGACAAATGAAGAGAGAGAAAGATAGGGGAACAAAATGATTATAGAGATAATGAAATTAAATGCAGTAGTTTCCCTCCATTACAGTCTTCTTATTTAGGCAGCTTTCAAATTCAAATGCCCTCATATTCCATATTCCATATTTCAAATTCAAATTCCAACCAATTCCAAATTTCAAATTCCAATTCAAATTTAATTTCAAAAATCTCAAACTGCAAAAATTTCAAATTTCAAAATCTCAAACTACAAAATTTCAAATTTCAAAAAATCTCAAATTGTAAAATTTCAAATTTCAAAAATCTCAAATTGCAAAATTTCAAATTTCAAAAATCTCATACTGCAAATTTTAAAAAAAAATCTCAAACTGCAAAATTTCAAATTTCAAGAATCTCAAATTACAAGATTTCAAACTTTATAATTTCAAATTTTCATAAATTCAAATTTTCAAAATTCAAACTTTCAAATTTTAAAGTTGGTCAACATAATCGATTATGACAAGAAAAAAAATTTCGATTCTAATAATCAATCAGATGCTCAAATTATCATATAGACATGTATAAATGCTTTGTTCCTTTAGGCACTCATTCATATTTGCCATTAGATATGCCAAAATGTTTTATATGACCTAATTTCATGCAATAAAAAC